CAGAGCAACAGGCTACAACCTGTCCCAGGCTGCTTCGGAGTGCCGTGACCCAGATGCCTTCCAGAAGCTGGCATCTCTCTCGGCTGTCTCCAGGTCACCCACTACTCACTCCACCACAGCCTCCAGTTATGCACAATATGGCAACTATGGCAGTACTGGAGGACAAAGTGTGACTCCTGCCAGCTTGTTTCAGCAAGGGAAGTCCTACCACACCACCCAAGACTGTCCCAACAACAAGGATTGCAGCTTCACCTATGGTGGTGGCAATAGCCTGCCCTCCTCCCCAAGCAGTGCCCACAGCGTCAGCTACACCCAGCAGACGTCAGGGCCCAGCATGTCCCTGAGTAAGCCCTCTTTCTTCAACAGCTCTGATCCCAGCCAGTTCTCCAGCTCGTCTCACACCCCCATGAGGTGTGACAGCCGGGCAAGCACTGTATCGCCAGGGGGTTACATGGTCCCTAAGAGTTCAATCCCCTTCCAGCCTTCACCAGAGAACTGTAGGCAGTTTCCTAGTGCCTCTCAATGGGCTTTCCGGCAAGGTTACGGCCTGGACTGGAACCCTGAGTCCTTCAGTCAACTCTACAACCCGGGCTTTGACTGCCACATCAACGAACCCAACGTCATCCTAGACATCTCCAACTATACACCCCAGAAGGCCAAGCAGCAGACGGTCTCGGAGACCTTCTCCGAATCCTCCTCCGACAGTACCCAGTTCAACCAGCCATCAGGCTACAGGAGGGCCAACAGTGAGGCTTCGTCTAGCGAAGGGCAGTCCAGCCTCTCTAGCTTGGAGAAGCTGATGATGGATTGGAACGAGTCTTCTTCAGCCCCAGGTTATAACTGGAACCAGAGCGTTTTATTCCAAAGCAGCTCCAAACCAGGACGGGGCAGGCGAAAGAAAGTGGACATATTTGATACTGCCCATCTCAGTTTCTCCACGGGGGGCTACCCCTCCAAGAGAGGGACTGGTGCTCGGCAGCCTCGGGGTTCCCGGGGCGCCTGCACCTCCAAAAAAGAAAGAGGCACAGGCAAAGCTAAGTTCCCCACCAAATCCCAGTCGGTGAACCCGCTGTTTCAAGACAGCACAGATTTGGGGCTGGACTACTACAGCGGGGACAGCAGCATGTCCCCTCTGCCTTCACAGTCCCGGAGCTTTGGGCTCAGCGAACGCGATCCTTGTGACTACACAGGGCCCTACTCCATGAATCCTTCCACGCCTTCGGACGGCACCTTTGGGCAAGGGTTCCAGAGTGACTCCCCCAGCCTGGGGCAGACGGACTTGGAGAACAAGCATTTCCCCACCCTGCCCCACCAGCTGGCTGCCCCACCCTCTCAGCAGACGGTGTTCGAAGCCAGCTTGCAGAAAGCTTTCTCGCCCAACTGCTCCCCCACCCTGGCCTTCAAAGAGGACTTGCGGCCCAGTGACATCCGGAAGCTTCCAGCCTGCGACTCGCTCAAACATGGCATCGCTGGGGTAGCCGGCTTGCCCCACTCGGCCCCCCACATGGCCTGCCGGGACCTCTCCATGTCTCAGCCTCACTATGATTCTCCCAGCTGTAAAAACCCCAGCTATTGGTATTCGCCCACGGCCAGCACCCGCAGCCCTCCCTATGACAACAAAGCCGGGGTGGGCATGCTGCTAGACTTCATGGGGAGGAGTCCCGAGGCTTCTTGCCTCAACCCCCATTTGACCAGTCCCCCCAGCAGCAACCCTTCCAAGAGCGAGAAGGAGCCCATGGACATGGCAAGGGTTCATCACCGAGGAGCCTATATTTGCCCCTTGATGAATGACTTAAATATCTCCCCGGTCCCGAGAGACTCGATGCTGCCGCTGCAGGACAACTATAGGTACCCCAGCTTTGCACCCCAAGGGCACCCAATCATGACCGCACCCCAGAAGAGCGCGTTTTTGGGTCCAATGCTAGAACAGCATCCCGAGGACACATTCACAGTCACCTCCTTGTAGTGTCATCTGAAGTGCCAACCAGACACGAGGTTTTGTTTCAGGGTAGGTGCCTGAGGAAGACCTGGGGAGGGGAGGGGGGGGTGCTTTGAGAAAGTGCGGGGATAGAGTGGGCTTGGGCTTGGAGGCTCATTGTCGTCATGCCAATGGGGCTAGCAAAGAGGCTCACGGCACAATGGGGAGGAAAACAAATGAATAGGTTCCCTCCGTGGATGGTTTTTGGAAAAAAAAGGACTTTTTGTAACGGTGGACACCAACTCAGATACCAACTGGCAAATGGCTCTTGGACAGGAGTTTGAACTTAGGGCAGTGTTTCTCAACCTCGACCTCTTGAAGAAGTGTGACTTTCAACTGGAGAATTCCCCAATAATTCAGCCGACATTTAAAGTCACGTTGGCTGGGGAATTCTGGGAGTTGAAGTCCTCACATCTTAAAGGGGCCAAGGTTGACGAACACTGCCTTAGGACGATGCCAATATAGGTAGCCCTTGAGATGGGGCCACAACTGAGCCCAACATTTCCGTTGCCAAGCAAGACAGTGTCCCATTTTACAACCTTTCTTGCCACAGTCATTAAGCGGATCGCTGCAGTTGTTAAGTTAGTAACACGGTTCTAAAGTAAATCTGGCTACCCCATCGATTTTGCTTGTCAGAAGGGCACAAAAGGTGATCATATGACCCAGAGACACTGCAACCACATCCTAAATGCAGGCCAGTTGCCCAGTGCCCGAATTTTGATCACGTGGCCCATAGGTCATAAGTGGCATTGTGACTTTGAAGAGTCAGTAAATGAATGGTTATAAGTGGAAGGTTACCTGTAGCAAGTTCTCCTGCAGGCAGAGGTTTTACATACACCAGTGTTCTGACCCACACCCTTTTCCAATAAATCAAACACCATCCAAAAGGAACAGAAACCTTGTAATGCTTTTACACAATAATTAGCTGTGATAAGCACAAGCCTTGCCAAACTGTGTGAGACTTGCCAAAAGATAACAGACAAGAAATAATTTATAATACAAAAATTTCAAATACAAACTCAGTATACTGGAATGTCCATGAGGCTGGAATTTTCAAAACGTCTTTGCCTTCTGCAAAGTATGTTTGTTTCACAGCTGGCTTTTCTCTTCTTGAAGAAGGGGCCATTACCTTGCAGCCTTACTCCTGAGTCGCCCGTGCTGTTGTAGCTGCTCTTTCCTTTATAGACCTTCATGTAGAATCCAGAGGCGTTCCTGTAATTGAAGGCTAGTCTGGTGCTTTGCTTTGTTGTCATGCCAGCTTTTTTTTTAATGAAAATAATTTTCTCAGCAATAAAGTTAGGTGAATCAAGAATCCTAGAACCATGTCACCCTTGAGTTATGCTGACTCGTAATCTGCCTATTATTGCAAGTCCTTAAAAGGGGGAGGGAGGTATTATATTAACTAATAACCACTTTAGATGTGACCACAAAGAGTCTACCCAGTTTAGTAATATTATTTCCAAAGATTGCTCATATAACGTCTATGTTCATATAGCCCACTGAATCACAAATCCTTTTTAGCTGACCACGTTGTACAAACTCAGCCTGTGGCTAGTTTATGCTTCAGGGTCTTGTGCAAATGTAGAAAAGTGGATTCATTCCATAAGTCATGATCAAGTTAATCAGGAATAAACATGTCATGCAAATGTCTACGGAGAATCTCAATCATCCAGATCATGGTTATCCCAAAGATGGGTTTTTTTTTTCCAAAAGGCAACTGGACTTTTTTTTTTTTTCCTTTAAAAATGTTTTGCTTCTTATCCAAGAATCTTCTTCAGTTCTGGATGAGAAGCGAAACATGTTCAACTTTAAAAACAAAACAAGAAAACCCAGTTGCCTTTGGGGGGAAAAAACACCTTCGGGATAACCATGACCTGGATGATTGAGAATATGTCATGCAAACATAGTCCGTAAAAGGTCTTCAGCTAGCTACAGCAGAAGCTCCTGGTTCACCTTTCCAGGGAACATCCTTTCAAAATTACAGGAAAGCTATATTTACAGGTAGTCCTCCATATAGGAGCAGAACTGGGATGAAAATTTCCATTGCTAAGCAATGCAGTCATAAAGCGTGACACGGTATGACCCGCATCACTTAGCGATGACAATCCTGGCAGGCACTGTTCCGTTGTTAAATGAATCCAAGCCAAGCCAAGCCATTGCCGACTTGGTACCTCCCAGCCCTGAGCCTTGGGTAACGTGTCAGGCGCAAAGAAATCAGGCCCCCTTATTAAGTTCCACTTAAAATGATTTGTTGCTCATGCTACACAGGGAGTCCTTGACTTACGACCATGATGGGTTCCCCAAGCCAGACAGTTGTGAGCTTTGCCTCATTTTACAACCTTCCTTGCCACAGTGGTTAAGCAAGTCACTGCTTGCTATTGTCAGAAGTGAGTAACACGATAGTTAAGTGAACCTTGTTTTCCCATTGACCTTACTTGTCAGACATGGCAAACTCCCACAACCTCGGAACACTGCAGTGGCCATAAATAGGAACCAGTTGCCAAGGGTCTGAATTTGGATCGTGTGGCTGTGGGGATGGTGCAAGGATCAGAAGTATGAAAATAATCGTGTCACTTTTTTCAGTGCCATTATAACTTTGAAACGAATACCTGTACGCAAGAATCTAGTAACTAATGATTGTGGCTAAATTAACACTAGACAAGAGTTAATGGAATTCAAGAGGAGTTGGATTGAGACCATGCACAGGAACGTTAATGACTCCAGGCTGATTCCCGTCTTGACGCTGCCTCCAGGTTCTGTCTGTCCTGCTATATACAGTAAGCTAAAGCAATGGCTGCCAACTGGTGGGCCGGGAACCACTGGTGGTCCACAAGAAAATTTGGTGGTCTGTAGAGAAATGCCCCCCCAAAAGCAATTAATCCAGGCTGCACTGGAACACAAGGTTGTGCCACCCACATGGTCTGCCCAATCCCTGTAACTCTGGGGGCCACTTGTTAGTCCTTTCATTCAGCATCACCGTCCCTTTGAACAGTCCCTAAACAAATGGTCCTAAGTTAAGGACTACCTGTATTCTGGAATAGAAGCAGTGACTGGGTTTGTATGTCTTGCTCAACTGGAACTTATGTCACTGTTTGGGTGTTTTTAGCACGAAGCCGACTTCTCGTCCCGATAAACCCCTATTACAGAGTTTACACTGCATTCCTCTCCAGCAAAGTCCCGGCCAACAGTTCTTCAAGATACTTCCCAATTACCAACTCTTATCAGACCTGGAGAGCTGCCAGGCCAATATCCTTCAGATGCCACACTGTAGCAAATGACGCTTGGAAAGAATGCAGGAACAGATCTTCACCCAAATGAACTAACTGTTTCCTGCAAAACCCTTTTTTGCTCCTCTTTTATTCCCTATGGGAGGGGCCATTCACCATCCACCTGTGGCTTTACTCCCGAGTCGACCCTTGTTCCTTAGCTGTTCCCTTCTTCTGGCAACTCTGTGCCTGCGCACACTGGGAACAGGCTCCAGCTGTTCTTCTTCCCCACTTATCTCAGACTCTGTAGGCAGCTGGGAAATGTTGGACAGCCCTGGCCCCATCTCTGCCTCTGACACCTAGAGCACTTGTCAACAGCCTTCCCCAGACTCCAGGACTGGCCCATGTTCCTTCCCAACCACCTCACTGGCCGAATCTGCTGCCAACTCTGCTGGTGGGCCACAATCGTAGCTGTGTTTTGCTATAATTTAAACCCATCCCTAAAAGGAGGGAGGGGAGTAGGGAGATAAATATGGTCACCCTAAACCCTGTGCATGATCCTCAGCTTCCATATGCCTATCTAGCCCTCGTGACTTCTTTTCTGCTTCAGAAAGACGTTCCAGCTAGTACTAGGAAGACCCACCAGGGAAAGAGGTTATAAATGTTTGGCTCTGGTTTTGGGTGCCCTCCATCCAGCTCTTCCAATTCAGAGGTTCCATCTGTTAACTAAGCATCGGGGTTGAGATTAGCTGACTGTAAACAAGTCAATTTGGCTGCATTGTATTTCTGTATCGTCCTTACTTTTATTAGCCACCCAAAGGGTAATATGCAGAAAGGCAGGCCAGGCATTGAAAAATAGAAATAAAACAAGTAAGTAATATTTAGAGAGAGACAGATTATCCCAGAGGCTCCTGAAAGCTGGTTCAAGGAGCTCTGAAAAAGCAGGATCCACACACCTCTTTGACATTCCAAACACGCAGAGTGAGAGACAAAAGATTTCACTTCCAAATCTCACGAGGTCCCTGTCACTCCCAAGCTCCGGAATAGCTTCCCTTGGGAGTTGTATTTATCTTTCGCTCTTTCCGTCTTCAGATCAAGGCTTTTCTCCTTCAGTGAGACCTTTGGAGTTTTGTGAACAATTCTGTTTTCCTAGTTTGTCCAGATTGGCCAGGGAGATGCTGTCAGTGCCCGATGTGTAGAAGAAGAAAAAAGTGGAGTGGGGGAGAAATAGGAAACTGCAATGCATGCACGATCCCCATACAAGCAAGGCAAGCGACACATAGATAACATTCTGTTAGGCTGAGGCTATTCCTCACTTTGAAGGTCACGACTTTCTGGTCCCAGGAATTAGAACCAGGAAGCTGATCAAAATTAATCCAGCAATTTGTGTCAGTAGAGGCCACGGGAAAGGACTGCAGTAGGCAAACTAGCAAATAAGACACTGGAGCGGTCATGAGAGACTGGTGTCTGTGGAGATTCTTGGTCATCCAGGTCATGGTTGTCCCCAAAGTGCTTTTTCAAAAGGCAGCTGGGCTTTCTTTGTTTTTTTTTTTCCTTGAAGACAAACTGAACAAGCTCCTTGGAAGAGAAGTGAAACAGATTCAAGGAAAAAAAACGCAATCTGGCTGCCTTTTGAAAAAACACCTTTGGGACATTACGGACCGAGTTGGCGGTGAGCACAATTCACAGATGGGGTGATGGTTCATGGACACTGCAGAATTAAAACAATCAGAATAGAGCTGGAAGGGACCTTGGAGGTCTTCTAGACCTTTTGGACCTCAGAGACCACCAAACTCATAATTTTAAATCCCGTGGACCACTAATATGAATTTTGACGGACAGTGGCTGCAGGAAAAATGTCTGCAGGAAAATTCCCCACCCTGTTTTCCTACTGATTGATGATCCTTTATTTGGGATCGCAGGATACAGTCTCCAGCTCTGTTCTAAGGGGGAGAAAGAGAGAGAGACTTTTGGCTTCATGCAAGGAAAGCAGCACAAGCAGCAGAAGTCTTTCTTTCTCTCCCCCAAACTCCGCCAGAAATGAGTCTTTGCCGGCGCAGCCTCTTGGAGCAGGATGCCTTGTAGGGTCCTAAAGACTCCTTTCTAGTGGAGTTTAGGGGAGAAAAAGAAAGACTTTTACTGCTTTCTTTGCATGCAGCCAAAAGCAGAAGAAGAAAGAAGCAGCCTGGTGGCCAGGCGAGGCACGTGGGGCGCTTGGGGCAAGTTTCCCGCCCTCTACCCTTTCTCCCTCCCCTCATTACCTCATGTTGTTTGCAGTGCAAGTGACTTACCACGCAGCCTGGATTAATTGCTTTGGAGGTGACATTTCCCTGCGGACCACCAAAATTTTCTCACGGACCACCAGTGGTCCCCAGCCCACCAGTTGGAGACCACTAGCCTAGTCCAACCCCCTGCTGAAGCAGGAGATCCCATACCATTTACAGACAAACCTCCAGTGATGAAGCATCTACAATTTCTAAAGTTACACTGGTTAATTGTTCTCCCTATTAGGAAGTTTCTCCTTAAATTCCAGGTTGCTTCTCTCCTTGATTAGTTTCCATCCATTGCTTCTTGTTTTCTTTGGGGTGCTTTGGAAAACCAGTTGAACCCCCTTCTTCTTGGTGGCAGCTCCTCAAATACTGGTATCATGTCACCCCTAGTTCTTCTTTTCTCTAGACTGGCCTTACCCAAATCCTGCAACCGTTCTTCATGTGTTTTTAAACGATCCACTAAGATGTGCTCCAAGTGTCCCCTTTGCTTTTTTAATTTTCCCTTGTGTGTTTTTTTAATTGGGAGAGGATATGCAGAAGAAAAGGCAATGCCCCTCCTACAGTCTTAAATGGAACAGCCTAGAGCAGGGGTCTCCAACGTTGGCAACTTTAAGCCTGGCTGATTTCAACTCCCAGAATTCCTCAGCTAGCAAAGCTGTACAGGTAGTCCTCAACTTATAGCCACAACTGGCACCAGAATCCCCGTTGCTAAGCAAGGTGATTGTTACATGAGTGGGATCCATTTTTACATCCGTTTTTTTGCCCAGGTTGTTATGCAAATCACTGCAGTTGTTAAATGAATTGTGTTGGTCATTAAGCAAATCAATATTCCTACACTGACTTTGCTTGTTGGAAACTTGTAGGTAGCAAATGCTGAACACATGGTCCTGGAAAGCTGCCTTCATTGTTTGTCAAGTAATTTTATTAGATTTTACAAAGCATACACTTCACAAAACCACATAAACTAACAATTAAGAGAAACAACGAAGTGTTAAAAAGAGAGTAGGGATAGAAGTTTAAAAAGGTATTAAAGAAAAAGGGAAACACAAATATTAGAATGACACCTGACTTTTTCCAAGTATATAGAAAGAATTCTCACATTCAAAACTTAGTTGTTTAAGACTATAATAAATTGTCCATTTTCCACAAAAAAAATGGAAATCAAAGTTATTTTTTCCTCCCTTTAAATTTTTTTTAATGCTCATCAAATCCACATGACAAAATTTGATTTCTTTTCTCCAACGGAAGCAGCAACCATTGTAAATGCGTGCCGGTTGCCAAGCAACTAAAATTTGATCACATGACCATGGGCACACCATAATGGTCGTAAGAGTGAGGACTGGTTGTCGCTTTTTTTCCAGTGCTGTTGTAACTTTGAACAGTCACTAAACCAATAGAAGATGAGGACTATATATCCTACTTTAGGTCTTTGTGTATCTTTAAAAAAAAAACCCACAAAGGACAATCTGAAACTGATTTGGACATTTCCAGAAGTAATGTCTCTGTTCTTTTCTATCCATGAATATTGTTTACCATATGAATAATCATTTTAAAATATAATTCTACATAATTGTTCGGTGCATTACGCTGGCTGGCCTCCATTTCAGTGGCTGCTTGCAGTGAAGCTGTGTGTGTGTGTATGTGTGGTGTCTTAAAAATGCCCCCCTTTTGCAGCAGAGATAAAGGACCTGGTCATGTCTAGGTGTTGCTGATCTACAGCTCCCAAGGGCTTTCATCTCTGGCAGGGATGACCAAGACTTGTTGTTTTTCAACAGCATCTGTTGCTGAAAGTTACAAGTTTATCACTCCTGCTGTATGCAATGGCTCTGCTGGAAGAGAAGGGAGAATGTCTTTTTTTTTTTAAGGCAAGCACACCCACATGTTCCCTCTAAGGGTGTGTTAAAAAAAAAAAGTCAAATTAGCAGCAACCCAAGCTCCATCCATGTTTTTTGTATCAGCCCCACCCCAGTACTTCTCTCGTGTTCCTATCTTGTGGATTCACACAGATGCACCCAGCTTTAAAAAGAAAATGGCCACTTAATTATCAACAACAAAAATAGTTCAGTGTATTAGATCAGTGGCGTCAAACTCAAGCCCCGGGGGCTGGATCCGGCCCACAGGATGCTTACATCTGGCTCGTGGGGGTCACTCTGGAAACAGTGAAAGTCTGGCCTGCGGTGCCTCTGTCAGTGAAAACGGAGCTTGAGAGCGCTGTGGGCGGCCTTCTCGAACTCCGTTTTCACTGGCAGAAGGTTGCAGGAGGCCATCGCAGCTGAAAACGGAGCTCGGGAGCCCATTTTTGCTGGTAGAGGGCTCAGGTCACACAGGAGCCTCCCAACATGAGTGATGTTGAGCTGGCCATGCCCATCCCTAGCTAAGTCGTCCCCCCCCCCAGTCAAACACAACCCTGATGTGACCCTCAAGAAAATCAAGTTTGACACTCCTGTGTTAGACTGACAGTTTGAGGAGCAAAGCTTGGGCATATTCTTGGCCATGAAGTTGATTGTGTATCCTTGGGCTCTGAGGCTATCCTATCTCTCTGTGTTATTGTAAGAATGAAATGGGGAAGGAGATATATATATTAATTATACACGAACACACACAGCCTTGAGCTTTTTGGAGGAATGGGGTAAGATATATAAATAAAAGGGTAAAAATTTAGCTGTCCTTGATTAAAATTAAGCAATGCCAATGACTGTTCAAGGGGGGAAAAAAATACCAATAGGCGTGAACAGCCAACCAGCCATCTCCTAACCTAAAGAAAAGGGGACACCCTAAATAAGCATGGAAATATTTAATAGGTGCTTTTTTACTGGGTCTCTAAATTGTAGATTCCGGAGAAAGGATTTGTTGGACAAAAACACAATGAGTCTCTTGGGTTCCATGCACCAAAATGAATACTTGAGCCCTGCCAAGAGTGGGCTGTGTTTTGATCAATGTTTCTTTCTGTTTCTCACCCTCCTCCCTTCCCTTCTCTCTCTCTCTCTCTCTCTCTCTCTTTCTCTCTCAATCTCTTTCAGAGCTACTTTAGCAGCACTTTTCTCTGGAACACTTTTCAAGTTCTGTATTTAATGGAAATCAAAAACAAAACAAAAAAACCCCACCACACACACACACGCACACACACACACATATATGTATGACAAAAAAAAAAGACCCCTTTTTGTTCGCTCGTTTCTTGGTTGGTTCATTTGCTTTTTTTTTTCTAAGAAAACAAAACAAAACAAAAAAGAAAAGAGAAAAAGAAAGACAAGAAGGAGGGAAAGAAGACAGAGCTGAACAACCCCCACTCCACCCCTTTCTTTAAAAAACAAAGAGAAAGGGGAGAAAAAAGAAAATACGATGAAAAAATGAATAAACTTGCTTTCTTTGATAATGGCGGGGGGGGGGAGCAGTTTTTGAAGCAGACCGTCGGGAGCTGTCTCAACCTACAGCCCAGCAAAAAGACAATCGAAAATCCTTGCAGATGCCCAAGTCAAGAGTCACAATGGAGGCTGCCATATCTGTGAGCCACCCACAACATGCAGACGAGAAACACTCCAGAAGGCAACGGACAGAAACCAAGGACATCCAGAGGGAAGGGGACATTAATTTTTGCTTTATTTTTTTTTTATGACGGGGCAGAAGGTGTTGGGGAGGGAAAACTCTGTGATCTATGAACGTCAATGAAAACTCATCAAGGAAGACTGAAGATTGGGCATTCTCTTCCCTCTTCACCTCTTCCTACCCTTCCCTTATGTCTCCCTCCTTTTTTTGCAGATTTATTTCATTCCTTTTTTTTTTTTTCTTCTTCCCAGTGGTTGGTTGGTTGGTTTGCCTTTTTTAATTTTTTTTTTTTTTTACAAAAAAAGAAAAAGAAAAAACTTTGTTGCTTAATTTCTTTGGGGAGCCCAGAAGATTTTACAAGTCTATGAATCAATCTCGGAGACCGCCACCTTCTCCCAGTAAGTAATTTTGTGACTCCAACCCTCTTTGCTTTCCTCAGCATCTTCTCCCAATTCCACGGCGGGCAGGAGGTTGATTTGTCTTCTCCGCTCGGCCACATCCCTGTCCTACCTGTTCTTCCTATCATCTCTGCTAAAAGGAGTAGAAACTTGTTGATAGATGCTCTTGTAGCCTCTGAGCAAAACTGCAGTGAAGCACTTTAAAAAACCCAATGTTGCAAAAAATAATAATAATCTAGGAACTTGTTGATTGATGCACCCTGATGCTCATAGCTTTATTACTGAAATGTTCCTTTTTGCCTTGTGCTATAGAAAAAAAACAACCCAGACACTCCTGCCTGCTTTATAGACAAACTCATTCGCTCAGTTATACATCAATTGCACAAGGAATTAAGATTTTGTGGCAGTCATCATGTGTTTTGCCATCAAGTGGTCAAACCACCCTTTGTTTCCATTTATCACTGTGGGAGCAGCCATTCCATGCCTGGTGCCCTCCCAGTTACACTAGCCAGTTTCTGCAGCCAGAACCTAGAGAGGAAATGGAGCAAACTGCTTGGGACCACCTATGTCAAACTGCACACCAGCTGGATTCGCACATTGTGCTGAGTGGTTTTTGTTTAGTTTGTTCAGGGTACGCTCGATCTGTTGAGTGAACCCAGTGCCTGTCAATTTGTAAAATCAAATGGCTTATGGGTTAACCCGATCATCATTTGAGGTTTATTCAAGCAATGCTGTTGAACCAAAATCTTGGTTTAGCATGTTATATGAAGTTTAGTTTCTGAACACCAGTGGCTCTCCGAAGTTTCAGAGGTAGCTTTACCAAAATCTACCTGAAGATGCTGTTGCACTGAACTTGGGATCTTTTGCAAGCAAACAAGATGCTCTACCACTGAAATATCCCCCCACTCAAAAATTTCCCCCCAGGTTGCGTAGATTATTGTCAGCAAAAAGTAGGGAGGTTTGTATAGGCCTATGTTAATATGGATGAAAGCACACACACACACACACACCCCACCCCCCTCCAAAAAATACATCTTGTTCATGTAATGATTCCGGCAACTGTTGTTCCTTTTCCAGCCGTCCCGTTTTATGACTTTCTTGTACTGTTGATAAAACTTGTACGCTGCCTTGAGTGTTGGGCAAATGGTCCATGGACCTTCTAGACTTAGCCGAAAGGTATTTATGTTCAATAATGCTAGGAGGGTTTAGGGACCTAATTTACACTATCTTCAGTCCCACTGGACATCAAATAAATAATCATAAAAATGATTGCAAACAATTGTTTAGTTGGTTTTTTTAATCTATGTTTTCATGAGAGATTTGGGTTTTATTTGTAGGGGTCCGCTACTTTGAGCGGCACTATTATTATTATTATTATTATTTAAAGAAATGACTGCTTGAGGAATCCCCCTTATAAGGTACTTCTGCCCGAAGTATCCTTGTTTTGCTTTAAGCTATTTTCACATGTTTCCTTAAACATTGTGGTTTGCATGGATTTGGCTGAGTAGTGTATACACACACACTCACACACACACCCCTGGTTATGATCTGTTTTAGTCCAATAAGGGAACCAAGCCAAGATCATCTGCTTGAATCTTCTTTCATTTGGGGTAGTTTTTTTTTTTAATTTTATTTTTACTGTCAACTTCCTGGAGATAACCTTGAACACTGGGCAGCATACAAAACCTGTGAGTAAATAATATGGAAAGGACTGAACGGAATGTATGTATCACAACAGTGCAGTAAAGCCCACAAAACAGAGAGGGTGTGATGCAATTCCAGATGCAACCTCAAGACCAGGATCAAAGTTTTAGCAGAGCTGATGCCTGTCTGAAGGTGCCTACAATTTATTGGGTCCCGAAGACATTTTTTTTTGCTGCAGGGATGGTTGCTGACCGGGAAACTCCATTTTTCTTCCTCCTCAGTTGCCCTAGTTGAGGTGGTTGAAGGACCGCCAGTAGTCGGTCCTTCGACTCCTTCAGAATATCCACTTTAATAGAATGACTGAGCTGGAAGGGACCTTGGAGGTCTTCTAGTCCAGCCCCCTGCCCAAACAGGAGAACTTTTTCCATTTCAAATAAATGACTGTCTAGGCTCTTCTTAAAAACATCCAGTGATGGAGCGCCCACAATTTCTGGTGTCAAGCAGTTCCACTGGCTAATTGTCCTGACTATCAGGAAGTTTCTCCTGAATTCCAGGTTGCTTCTGTTCCTTGATTAGTTTCCAACCATCGTTTCTTGTCCTGCCCTCCAGTGCTTTGGAAAATAATTTGACCCCCCCATCCCGCTTCTTTATGGCAGCCCAAGTACTGGAATACTGCTATCCTACCACCCCAATTCTTCTTTTCTTTAGCCAAACCCAAATCCTGCAGCCATTCTTCATATGTTTTAGTCTCCAGGCCTTCGATCATCTTAGTTGCTCTTCTCTGAACTTTTTTTTCCAAAGTCTCAACATCTTTTTCAGATAACAGATAATCAGAGTTGGAAGGGCCCTTGTAGGTCATCTAGTCCAACCCCCTGCCCAAGCAGGAGATCCTACACCATTTCTGACAGATGGCAGTCCAGTCTCCTCTTGAAAATCTCAAGTAATGGCACTCCCACAACCTCCGAAGGCAACTTCTGTTCCATTGGTTGGTTGTTCTCACTGTCAGAAAGTTTCTCCTTATTTCCAGGTTAAATCTCTCCTTGTTCAGTTTTCATCCATTATTCCTTGTCTGGCCTTCAGGTGCTTTAGAAAACAGCTTGATCCCTTCCTCTCTGTGGCAGCCCCTCAAATATTGGAAGGCTGCTATCATGTCTCCCCTGATCCTTTTCTTCACTAGACTAGCCAAGCCCAGTTCCTGTAACCGTTCTTCATATGTTTTAGTCTCAAGTCCCCTAATCATCCTGGTTGCTCTTCTCTACTTTTTTCTAGAGTCTTAAGATCTTTTTTATAGTGTGGTGACCAAACTGGGTGCAGTCCTCTAGGTGTGGCCTTACTAAGGCTTTATAGAGTGGCATTAGTATCTCCCTTGATCTCGATTGTATCCCTCTATTTTAGTAATACAGTGACCAAAATTGGTTGCAGTATGCGAACTTGGTCTAAGCTCCTTCTCAAAAAGTGGTGAAACTGTTCTCCCAGATGCTATTGCTGGAGTGTGACCATCCTCTTTGGCTCTTGGTCATGCTGGATGTGACTAATGGATGCCTAGCTCCAATCCTGCTGTTCTCCCAGGCTTGCTCCAGCAGGAGAACATCATGCAGACATATTTATACCCCTCCCAGCAAATTTATAGCATCTTTTGTTCTTTCCCAATCTCTCTCTCTAGTCACTCTGAATTCCTGTTCCACTCAGCCCCGCAGACCTTGTCCTTGTTCCATTGTTTGTGCGGTGTTGAGTTTTCTGGCTGCACTTTCCTGAGGTGTGCACCTGTGCCTTTAATCCTCTTGATTAGGTTGTTCCACCATGTGCACACACCTCCCCCCCCCTCTTCCTCCCCTCCTCTCCACCACCACCATCAGAAGGCCTTTTCCTGGAGTGCAGATGCCTGTCTGGATTTTGTCCCCTTTCCTCCTGTGTTTTTCAGCTTTAATCAGGATGTACTCAAAGCCATCAGGGGCTGGGTAATTTGGCACTAATTGCATGCCAGGTTTGTTTCTCACCAGCTTGTTCCATTTCAGAGAAGGAGCTTCTCTTTTTTTAACAATCAATCGATAATGGATTAGCATACTGAAACAGCCATATTAAAGTCACATTAAATGCTCATTTAAATCCATTCACGGGAAAGGAAGGGGGGAGGGAAAGAAGGAGAGAGGGAGGCAGATCAGCTTGGGTACTTCTTTTAATGCAGATGTACTGCGGTGGGGCCCTCCAGCTGCGTGGCACCAGCACTCTGAGCGGAAGCCCCCCATTCTGGGGGGGATGCGGGAAGGATGTAGCCTCGCATCCCGCAAAGCGTGAGGCCAGCCAGCGGTGCTCTGATAATGCTTAGCTTCTGGCCCCTGGGATGAATCCCCAATAGCTGTGCATTCAAAATAACAACATTCTGAAACGTGGGGGAAATAATTTGTTATTCAATGTCACCGCTGGGTGGGCTCA